ATATTCGGAGCCCGCTTCCAGTCCGCTCGGGAGATGTCGTGGATCATCTCCTGGGCCAGAAGGATGTTATCACTAATGACCCGATCCTTGACGAATCCACTCTGGTTCGGAGAGATGAGGGAGGGGAGAAGAGGGGAAAGACGTCCGTTAAGAATCTTCGAAATGAGCTTGTTGGTCACGTTACACAGGCTGATGGGCCTGTAATCGGACCAAGAGCTCGGGTTGGGTCGTTTGGGGATCAAGACGACAGAGGTAGACGTGAAGAAATCCGGCATCCGGTGGCCGGAGAAAAAATCCAGCATCGCCTCCTCGACGTCAGTCTCGACAAGATCCCAGCAGACCTGATAGAAGAGGGAGGAGAAACCATCCGGGCCAGAAACGTTGTTGGGATCAATCCCGAATACAGCATCCCTTACCTCCTCCCTACTCGAGAGCTCACAGAGGCCAATGAGATCGACCGAAGGAGGGATGGTGGGGAAAAGAGAAGCGATCGGGGCTACGAGGGACCCTCTGTCAGAGGTGAAGAGGGTCTGGAAGTGAGCAACAGCCGACTCCCGAATCTGAGCCTCCTGGGTCAAGAATGACCCATCAGCCTCGATACTATGGATGTACGACTTAGCACGCTTCTGCCTAACGTAGCTCTGGAAGAACCTAGTGTTCCGCTCGCCCTCGGCCACCCAGCGAACGGCCGCCTTCTGCTTCCAGAAGTCCTCCCCCATAAGGAGTCGGAGCTGGTACTCGGCGTGGCACCGGTGCATGGCAGTCCTATTCTCCGGAGTGGGATCCAGGTCATAGGCCCGCTCAGCCGTCGCATGCGCACTCTGAGCCGCAGCAAGGCGCTGATGAAGGTTTCCAAAAACATCCCAGTTCCACTGTCTCAACCGACGCCGCAGTCTGCCGAGCTTTGCCTCGAGATTGCGCATCCCGAAGAGCCCAGTCGGCTGAAGCCAGGAATCCCTGACAGTGCCGTGGAAGGAGTGGTGGCGAACCCACATGTTTTGGAACCTAAACGAAGAGCGGCGGCGGGTGCTCGAAAATCGGCACCGGATGAGAAGGAGTGAATGGTCAGACCCGAATCGAGTAAGGTGTGTGACAGTCGTAACCGCAAACACCTTCGACCACGCCTCAGAAACTAAGGCACGGTCTAACCTCTCTTTGAGTCCGTCCCTCACCCACGTGAAGGGCTCACCATCACATCCAGCGTCAATTAACTCGCAGTCCGCCACCGCCTGAGCAAAATCCTACATCTCCCGTGACCGGTCCGTACGGCCACCCACACGCTCATCGGGATGCAGAAAGATGTTGAAATCGCCACTAACCATCCATGGCAATCCCTCCATACTCTCGGCAATCTCACGCAGGGTGTCCCAAAGGTCATATCGCCCGACCCTAGTACACTTGGCATAAACCAAGGTGTGAAAGATGGGCTCCGGGAGGTGGGCAGCGGAAATCTCGACGTGAAGCACCTGATCG